GTGTGGGTGTGTGTGTGCGTGTGTGTGTGTGGGTGTATGTGTGGGTGGGTGGGTGTATGTGTGTATGTGTGTGTGTGTGAGAGTGAGTTTGTGTGTGTGTGTGGGTGTATGTGTGGGTGTGTGGGTGTGTGTACGTGGTGAAACACCATACAAATGTACCAGGATCAGGACAATGAAGATCCATGTATCTTATCTTATCATCTTATCGTACTTGCGTCCACAGTCCAGCACGCCACAATGTACTTCTTCTTCCTCCTGTCCGGTATCGTGGATGTTGTGATGCACGCCGGCGTCCCGCTCCCCCCAGGCTCCGACTACATGGGCATCGTGCTGGCCTTCACCGTGGAGGGTCTGCTGTTCGCCAACCACCTGCACGACCGCCCTGTCCTGGACGTGCACATACACGTGCTCCTGGTCTACGTCGTCTTTCTCACGGTGGTGGTCATCATGCTGGAAGCCAAGTGAGTACTGCTGCAGCGCTGTCTTGTTTTATGGCCGTTTTTTTTGTTTTTGTTTGTCTGTTTGTTTCTTGGTTTCTTTGTTTGTTTCTTTGTTTGTCTGTTGTTTGTTTGATTGAGTAAAGAGAAGCACATTGACACAATAACGGCCATGAGGTGGAAAGAAGAGAAGAAAGACAGATAGATAAAACAACAGAGGGAAAGTGTAAAAGTAGAACCTATCAGTACAAGAGTGGCTCTCTCCAACCACCCTCTATCTTAACGCAGAAATAAAAGTAGTAAATAGCTTTTGTGTAGCGCACATCTTCACTCGACAGTAAGCTCTCTGCACTTTGCACTTTGCACTTTGCACTTTGTTATTATCCCAGCAGGCCCTAGAACATTCAGAACCATTCACAGCTTCCCGAGAAGCATACTGTGCAAGCAGCTGATTAAGCGCTCAAACACTAACACACTGGCAAGACCTTTCGCCTATGTGAAGTGAAGAAAATGTGTGTAAAGTGCCTTTCACATGAACAATTCAATACGTCGGTTGGCTAGCGGGATTCGAACCCACGACCTTACAGTTGTGAGTTTGAGAGCCTAACCACTAGGCCGCCAGTGTACATGATATAATAAATGGATTTGCCTGGGCGGTAGACTTAGAGGAAGTAAATTTCTCAAATTATCCTACTTCGTTTCCTTCAGATCTTGACTTCCTTGATATGCTTGAAAGGAAAGACACGATTAATACGTTTGGAATCAAGGAAGGTGTAAGGATTACAATTTTACAGGTGCTACACGGACTCCGAATCTATTTTAGAGTTGACATCCGCGTCTGTGTTGCCGGGGCAAAGCGCTCCGCCGTCGCTCGCAGATGACCCGAGATCGATTCCAGAGTGGAGAGAAATTGGG